AGGAGCTCTGGTAGCATAGTACCTAAGGCACTTGGCTGCTAACCAGAAGGCTGGCAGTTCAAACCCACCAGCCACTCCTCGGAAGGAAGTTTGGGCAATCTACTTCTGCAGTGATACGGCCTCGGAAACCCAAGGAGGGGTCGCTATGAGTCAGATCCGACTCGATGGCAAACAACAGCAGCAACAACACTGGATACTTGAATCATTTACTTCATAATTGCTAGTTCAAGCCCTTTGCCCATTTTTCTAATGAGATATTCTCTTTCACTTGCAGTAGTTCCTTGCCTATTAACCAATTATCTTCCTGATAACATGGTTGGTCTCTCCTTAGAAACTAGATCCAGGCATTTTTGCAGTTCTCCTTAGGCCAAATTTCCATAATAACTGAATCTATATTGAGTTTTTGTCAAATAATAAATGGTTTAAAATCATTTTTAAAGTTATTTTGCTTTTTAAAAGCTCCCATACCCCATCAGGGAGCTCTGGTAGCAGAGTGGCTAAGGCATTTGACTGCTAACCAAAAGGCTGGCAGTTCAAACCCACCAGCCACTCCTCGGAAGGAAGGTTGGGCAATCTACTTCCGTAGTGATACTGCCTGGGAAACCCAAGGAGGGGTCGCTATGAGTCGGATCTGACTCCACGGCACATAACAACAACAACAACATACCCCATCAGAAGATGTTGAGTAAATTTTTTTTATTTTTATTTTATCCGGAATTTTCTAACCCCAAGGATGCCACAACTAATGTGCCAGTTTCAAAGACAAAGAGGAGAAAAAGGGATATGTAGCTGGTAAGTTGGGAGTTCTGGTAGCGTAGTGCCTAAGGTATTTATTTGACTGCTAACCAGAAGAATGGCAATTCAAACCTATCAGCCACTCCTCAGAAGGAAGCCTGGGCAGTCTACTTCCGTAGAGATACCGCCTCAGGGTTTGGTTTCTGGTTTGGAGCTCTCAAGTCATTATAAAATAAAAAAGTTCCTGGTCACCAAATAGTTTAGCTTAACTAGTAAAGAATGTCTGCCTTGAACCTTATGCTCTTTTAAGAATTATCTCCATGGGGTCAAATTGACAACCAAGAAACAAAACAAAAAAAAACTCACTGCCATCAAGTGGAGTTGATTCAACTCAGAGCGACCCTTCCCTGGGTTTCCGAGGCAGTATGTTTAAGGAAGTAGATTGCCCAATCTTCGTTGTTCCAGAGAGTGGCTGGTGGGTTTTAACTACCAGCCTTCTGGTTAGCAGTCAAATGCCTTAGGCACTATGCCACCAGAGCTCCCAAATTGACTATAGCAACTCCAAAGATTACATAGTAAACTTAGGGGGCAGTGAGTTTACAGTTAATGGGGGAGGAACAACTTGAAAACAGGAGGATGAGAATGGCTGCCCAACTCAAAGGATGTAATCAACTCACTGGATTGTACATGTACAAACTGTTGAATTGATATACTGCTGTACATATTCTCAACAGCAACAAAAATAAATTATTTGAAATAAAAAGTAGTTACTGCTCACAGATGTTCTGACCACCTACGATGAAGGGAGGAACAAAAATAGGATGATCACTAGAGTAAAAAAATAAAATAAAATAACTCCAGAAATAAAATCAAAGCACTAGACTATACATCGTTGATTTATTAAATACATTGTACAGAGTGTCAAAGTGTGAAAAGTTACACCAAAAATTCGGTATTTTTCTGATAGCTTTATTATATAGACTTAGTTTTTAAAATGAACAAATAATTCTTGTACAAGCTGCTCCTAGTAGGATCTAAGTAGAGGAAGCTGTTTTTCAAAATGTGGTTACTGACAAAGCCTCATCTGTCACATTCAAACACTATTTCTGAATGTTCCCCAGAGCTGGTATTTTGTGTAGCCCAGCACTAACTCACTATGTTAATACAGTCTTGCTTTGATACAGTGTTCAGAGACATCTTTACTTAATAATACCAAGTCATAGCCAAGAATTATTGCTTTCTTTTAATGTTACATTTGATGAAAGCAAGAGCCAAGAACAAGTGTGAGCCCGGTGTGTTACTGTGCGTTAAGGCTCATGGCTTGCTCCATGGCTTGGGTGTCCTCTGCCCGGGGTTTGGGCAGGTCCAACATGGTGGGTGAGTCCTTTCTGGGATTTCCAGTGACCAGCATCCAATGATTTTTTGGTTTTTCAACTTTGTGCGAATCCAAATATGTGTGAGCGGCAACCTCAACTTCCTTTCCAAAGTAGGTACTGGAGTAAGAAAGAATTAATACTGGTTGGAAATTTAATAACAATTCTTAATTTCATCTGCAAAGCCCCTAAGGAGGCAGACTGCTATATAAAGTCATTTAGGCTCTATAAAATATTATATGTTGACAGGTATGTTTCACCCAGTTTGGACAAGAATTAGGTAAGTTAGCCACACACACAAAAAAATTGTCCTTGAATTGATTCTGACTCACGGTGACCCCATTTGTGCTAGAGCAGAACTGTGTGCACTGATGGGTTTTCGATGGCTGATTTTTGGGGAGGCAGCTTGCCAGGGCTTTCTTCCCAGGTGCCCCTGAGTGGACTTGAATTTCCAGTCTTTCTGTAAGCAGCCCAACACATTGCACTACCCAGGATAGGATCCTATTACAGCTAAAATTCTCTCGTAGGGAACGACTTGTAAATAGAAGGGACTCTAATAACATTTTTCACACCATCAAAGTTATGTGTAACAAAAAAAGTTCTATGTGACAATATTTTGTCATCAAAGGACTTTTTTTTTTCATGGCACACTCTTGAAGTTGAGCTTCTCTGCTGATATTGATCCCAGCCCCACTCAGGGTGCTTTACTGCACCGTGCATGCAGTACCTTAGGAAAAGATGCCGATGGACCGCCAGTCCCCGATTCGTGTGGCAGTGATTGATGAGGATTTTTTTATTTGCCTTGATAGATAAAGAATGGGTGTTATTTGTATTCTGAATGAAGGACTCTAATCTCCTAAAGGCAAAAATTGGGGAAAACATTATATATTCACGTAAATTTAGTTTTTTAAAATAGGAATAACCTAGAAGCCAAACCATAAGGGACTGATGAAATACATCATTGTAGATATCCATAAGATGGAACATTATATAACCATTCAAAGTCAAATTGGAGAAGATGAAATATAGTCAGTGGTGTTACTGAGAAAAAAGTACATTCACGATATCCCTGTTTCATAAAATATAGAGAGACAGAGAAATGATAAACAGCAGTGGTTATCTTTGGAAGGTGGAACTAACTACTAGCAACTTTCAAGTTATTATGCTTTTCTGAGTTTTCACAAAGGAATATATATTATGTTTATAAGCAGAAAAATATAATAAATATTATTTAAAATCCTGGCTCATAGCAGCTAAAAGCCGTGCAAAAACCAGAAAAACAGCCCCAACATCCAGGAGCTGGCCTGGCCCTCACAGCTGGGCCGGGGGGTTCTCCTGTTGAATATAATTTCACAGAAGGTCAACATCACACATGGCCACTCTGTGACTATGACGGTTCACAGCAAAAAGAGACCACCCTGTGATCATATATGAACACAGACAAATGTGAACGTTGTCCAAAACACAAAATACCACATAACACCCACTCCTGGCTAATATGAATGGCTGCTGCTTCTTTACAAACTACACCCTTAGCCCCTCTAGTCTGCCCTCCCTATAGATAAGATTTATTGAGATACCGAAGCATAGAACTCAAGGGGCTCTAGTAGTGTAGTGGATAAGGTATTTGACTGCTAACCAGAAGTCAGTGGTTCAAATCCACCAGCCACTCCATGGAAGGAAGATAGGGCAATCTACTTCCACAAAGATTTACAGCCTCAGAAACCCCATGGGGATAGCCATGAGTCGGAATTGACTTGACAGTAGGGAGTTTGATTTTGTTTGAATCCTCAGGTGGTGCAAAGAGCTAAGCAATCAACCAACCACTAACTGAAAAGCTGGCACCCAGAAGCACCTCAGAAGACAGGTCTGGTGACCTGCTTCTGAAAGGTCACAGCCTTGAAAAAGCCTGTGGAGCAGTTCTGCTCTGCACATATGGGGTGGCCATGAGTTACAAAGGACCCGGTGACAACTAACAGCAGCAACAATCATAGGATTAATCCTGTGCTTCCTGAAAACATCTAAGCCCAAGCAAACTTCCATAACCTCACATCCTCCCAAAAATAATCCAACCAAAGCCAAATTCTATGCATGTTGTTGTTGTTATGTGCTGTCGAGTCAGACCCGACTCATAGCAACTCCTTCTTGGGTTTCCAAGGTGGTATCACTAGATATTGGCCAACCTTCCTTCCGAGGAGTGGCTGGTGGATTTGAACCACCAGCCTTCTGGTTAGCAGTCAAGTGCGTATATCCCTGCTTTTCGAAAGTCGGCTTTACGCCACTTCATTTTTACAAAAGATCTACATTAGTACCTGTTTTCATCAACCAAAAGAAATCTAAAGAGGATTTTTACTTTTATGAAAAGAAGGTGAAAAGTGAAACTAGCATTCAGCATTTCTTTCACAGCAGCAGCCACTGAGGAACAGCCAGAGTGGCTTTGCCAAGCTCGTTCCCCAGAAGTACACTCAGCAACTGAGCATCAAGCCACCATAGCTCTGAACTCTATCTGTGAAAACTACATGTTAGTGTTATTTGTATTTGTATTTGTATTTGTATTTGTTCTTTGTAAGTGATTTGGTAGGCTATTATGTGGGTCTTGTTGTTGTTATGTGCCATCGAGTCAGCCCTGACTCATAGCAACCCCTCCTTGGGTTGCCAAGGCAGTATCACTACGGAAGTAGATTGCCCAACCTTCCTTCCAAGGAGTGGCTGGTGGGTTTGAACCGCCAGCCTTCTAGTTAGCAGTCAAGTGCCTTATACCCTATGTGGGTCTTAGAACACTCAAAAGTTTTTCTCACATAAATTAATGACAACTGTTTTTTTGCTTTATTCCATTTAAATTTACAAAAGGTTTCATAAGAACAATCTACTTTCTGATAGTGAGGGAAACCTGTAGCAAGTCCTTTCTAACACCCTCTTGCTGAGATGTGCCAAAGTTCCTCATGGTGTGCTTCCTCCCTCGATGCCACAAGTAATAAAGCCACTGTGTTCAGTACAGGTGTGTTTTTGGCAGTCTTTGCTGGAGGAGATTGACATATACAAGTTAGCTTCAATAGATCTTTGTGGTTGGGCACCATTGACTGGATTCCAACTCATAGTGATCCTATATGACAGAAACAATGACCCTGTAAGGTTTCCAAGGCTGTAATCTTTACAGAAGCAGATCACCAGGTCTCCTCTGCTGAACCACTGGGGGTTCAAACCACCCACCTTTTGGTTAGCAGCCGTGTGTTTAACCACTGTACCACCAAGCCTCCTTCTTAGGTTTCCCATTGTGCAGATATGTAACCATGTTGGAGTGAGGTTCAGAGACTTGCTCCAGTCCACAAAGTGAGTTAGCATTGCAGAAAAGAGCTCCTGGTACCTGGGCCACTGGTCCACCCAATAACAATGATAACCAAAAACCAAACTCACTGCCATCGAGTTGGATCTGACTCATAGCGACCCCTCCTTGGGTTTCCGAGGTGTTATCACTACAGAAGTAGATTGCCCGACCTTCCTTCTGAGGAGTGGCTGGTGGGTTTGAACCGCCAGCCTTCTGGTTAGCAGTCAAATGCTTTAGGCACTACGCTACCAGAGCTCCCAATAACAATGATAGGAATAACAATAATAAACCATAATGATAATTAACACCTCTGAATGCTTCCTGTGATTAAGCATTAAGCTACCAGAGCTCCCAAAATCAATGCTGAGAATAAAAATAATAAACCACAACAATAATTATCACCTCTGAATGCTTCATGTGAGCCAAGCTTTCCTAATAAGCACTATAAATATACCATAAATTGTACATAAATATACCACTTAATCCTCACAAAACTTCATCTTACCAGTTAGTTGCCATCAAGTCAACTTCAACTCATGGCAAGCCGCTAAGTTTCAGAGTAGTATGGTGCTCTGTAGGGTTTTTAGTCACTGATTCTTTGGAAGTAGATTGCCAGGCCTGTTTTCCCAAGGTGCCTCTGCGTGGACTTGACTCTCCACCCTTTCAGTTAGCAGCCAAGTGTGTTAACCATTTGCATCACCCAGGAGTTCCAATGCCTCATAAGGTAGGTATTATTATTATTCCTATCTTACATATAAGGAAACAGAGAAACTGACCATATAAATCATGGAAATAAGAGGCAATTCCAATAAGAACAAAACTTGGCAAAGATCAGCTGAAGAGAAGAAAGACATGGAGCATGTTTTATTACAGACAAGGTATACCCTCCATGCTGGGAAACAGAACCTTGTGGACAAGGGGCTCAATGGGCAGAGCTCAGAGGGAATCATACCTTGTCTGGCAGATTCAGGGGGGCCTGTATTTGGGGGCCACTCCTGATGAGTGGGCTGTGGTCATAGATGGCCATCTCAGCAAACCAACTCTTTAGATTCTCTCCTGCTATAATCCCACACTCTCCCAGTGACTTCTGTTGTTGTTGTTACGTGCCGTCAAGTCAGACCCGACTCATAGTGACCCTTCCTTGGGGTTCCAAGGCAGTATCACTACGGAAGTAGTTTGCCCCATCTTCCTTCTGAGGAGTGGCTGGCAGATTTGAACCTCCAGCCTTCTGGTTAGCAGTGAATGCCTTAGGCACACCACCACCAGAGCTCCCACTCAGTGACTTCTAATGGCTCTTTATTCTCCCTTTGCTGGATGGGTCGTGAGCATGCAGCAAAACCCCTGGACCCTGAAACAATGAGCCTGCTCATGCCCACCAGACCCTGCCTTCTCTTCAGGCTGTGGTACCTGAGGACCCAGGCTCCCAGGGGCCAGGGAGAAAATAGGAATGAGGGACAGAATCTTGCTGGCCTGCAGGACCACTGTGTTCACCTGTGTGGCTGTCCTGCTGTCTCCTCTGCTGCCCTAAGGCTTCCTACTCTCTTCAGAAATTAGTGGAATCCTGGGTGGGCCAAACAGTCAACACACTTGACTGCTAACTTAAAGGATAGAGGTTCAAGTCTATCCAAAAGTGCCTTGGAAGAAAGTCCTGGCAATCTACTTCAGAAATGTCAGTCATCATATAGACCAAGGGAAAAGAATCAAAAACCTGAACTAGACCCATCCATTTATGGACAGCTGATCTTTGACAAAAGACCAAAACCCATTGATGGGGGAGAGATAGCCTCTTTAACAAATGGTGCTGGCAAAATTGGATATCCACCTGCAGAAAAATGGAACAAGACCCATACTTCACCTCATACACAAAAACAAACTCAAGTTGGATCAAAGACTTAAATGTGAAACCCAAAACTATTAAGCTCTTCAAAGATAAAATAGGGGCAAATCTAGGGGACCTAATTTATGGCATACACTATCAAGCATAACCCAAAATGTACAGTCAGTGGAAGAGAAGCTAGATGATTGGGACCTTTCAAAAATTAAATTCTTATGTGCATTGAAAGACTTCTCCAAAAAGGTAAAAAGAGAACCTACAGATTGGGAAAAATATATTTGGCTATGACATAGCTGACAAAGGACTTAGCTCCAAAATTTAAAGAAAACTTCAACACCTCAGTGCCAAAAAGACAAACAATCCAATTCAAAAATGGGCAAGGGACATGGACAGACACTTCACTAAAGAAGATACACTGGTGACCAACAAACACACGAGGAAATGCTCACGATCATTAACCATTAAAGAGATGCAAATCAAAACAACGAGATATCATCTCACCCCAGCAATGATAGCAAAGTTCAACAAGACAGAAAATAACAAACGCTGGTGAGGTTGTGGAGAGATTAGAACTCTCACACATTGCTGGTGGGACTGCAAAATGGTACAACCATTGTGGAATATGGTATGGCATTTCCTTAA